TCTTGGTCTTGCTCAGGCAGATATAGTCTGCTTTTAATTATATAAACATGTATAAAGAAAAGAGGATAGAAGGAAATTTACCAAAACATAATAGTTACCTATGGATAATGGTACTGTAGATGTTTTCCTATACTTCTGTATTTTCCAATTTTTCTACAATTAAATATAATCTTTATAATCAAGGGAAGAAAGTGTTTTTGTTGTTTTTTAAATGAACAATATAATCTACCTGAACCAGACTGGCCAGATAAAACTCCTAACTGTCAAGGCTCAAATGACAACTAGTAGGAGAACTCTCAGCCACTGGCTTTCTCCATCATACAACCCCCTATCACCGTAACAAGATATGCTGTATGATAGTGATTACTGCATTTAACATACTGATGTGTATCTATTATTTCTCCACCTCCCTCCACTGGACTTGGAGCTTCCTATGGAAAAGAACTCTTTACTGTTTCTATACTTCCTATACCTGACATATACATGTATTATTGCTAGCAAACACTTACATATGCATGTATCATGTAGTGCCTAGCCAGGCACTATTCTAAATATACGTAAATTAACTCATTTATTTAGCTACCTCCCCTTAGGCCTACCTCATATCTGGGATGGATTTGTGTCTCCAATAGTTATCAAAGCTTGTAAATCAAATGAGCAGGGCGAGTTCAGGTGGATACTAGGATCTAGGTAACCACAATAGCCAAAATGTACTGCATGTTTATTATGTGACATTGTGCTGTGCTTTACATGCATTAAATCCTCAAACTAACCCTAAGGAAGATACTATTAATGTCTCAGAATGGAAATGAGAACAGATTCCTAAGAGATTAAATATCCGGTCATGTAAATTCTATGTTCTGCCACTTACTAGCTAACCAATGTTCTGACTTCAACTTACAATGGCAATCCAGAGTCCCTGTATTTAAACCAACTCAACCAATAATCAACTATTAATAGATTCAATCAGAAAGTGAAAAATGGGGGTGGCGCCTGTGGCTCAAAGAAATAGCGGACCCCATATGGCAGCTCCGGCCAAAAACTGCAAAAAAAAAAAAAAAGAAAGAAAAGAAAAGAAAAGAAAGTGAAAAAAGGAAAAGCCTTTTTCCAACCTCCTAGGAGGTTGTCTACTCCTCCATATCACATGAGAATCCTCTTTTATCTGAAACAAAAGGTGGGTCGAGATTATCAGATGAACAAAGAATATACTATCTATCAAGGCAGCCTATCTACCTCACCTTTAAATAACTCCAAGCAGTTTCAGAATACGCACATTTTAAACTCTTGCTTCCTCTTTCTTTGCTGGCAAACTCCTCTATTTATCTTTCTAGGGCAGGAATCAACAAAACATGGTCTGAGAGACAAATTCAAACCACTATCTGCTTCTGAGGACCCATGATAAACAAATATTTTTTCAGCTCTTCTTAAAGCACATTTTTACAGTTCTCAGTGGTTGAAAAGCAAATCTATAGAGTCCTTAGTGACATGTTAAAATTAAATGTAATTCACATTTTAGTGTCCATGGTTTTAATTAAAACACATTCATGCTCATCTGTTTATTTATTGTAAGTAGTAAGAGAACCTATTCCCCAAAACACCTGAAAAATATTTATTGTTTGGCCCTTTGCAGATCACTATTCTAGAGTGATGGTCAAATGTTAAAACCCCTTTCAAAACTTTTCCAAAACCACATTTCTCAGAACATAGTTAGTCTTTCTCTCCTCTGGGCTCCCAAAGATTTTGTCATCCTCCTTTGACCACTAGCCCTTTTCATCCTATGATCATCTGTTTACTTATCTGTATTTCTCAAGAGCAAAGACTGTATCCAATTTTTGAAAATCACAGGCACTGGTTAAGTACCTACCATTTGTTCAAAGAAATCAGTAAAAGAACAAAAGACAAACTTGGTGTTATCTGCCTTACAACACACAATTTGGGACAACAATTATGGCAGTTGTCATAATATAACTATTCTGGGTTAGTCCCAAATTTATGCTGATCTCTCACGGAGCACTACCAAAATACTATTTCTAAGATATAACAATGACATATGTATTTAAAATATCTCACTAAGTAAGTTACATGGAGAACATTAAGTTACATTAAGTGAAAGAGATTCCAGTAGACAATCTACTTTAAAAGATTTTAATAGAGAAAATAATTTGGTGGTTATGCTTCCAGTTCCACACAAAATCAACACCTCCCAAGGACAGAAACCATTGAATCTGTGAACTGTCTCATAGTGACCAACCAAAAGCATGGTATTCAAAAATGCTTAGTATGAAAAAAGGGCAGGTACAGATGAGGAACTGTGCCCTGTGCTGTTGACAATTGTTTTAAAGCAATTCTCATCCATCCAGTCTGCTCTCCCACAGCTGTGATAGGGGAAAACAATGGTGTGTGATATCCCCAGTAGAATCCAATCTAATCAAGCTGTCTTCTCCTGAGTTCTGGCCTCTGAAACTATTTGTCAGGGATACTCCAATCTCTCCGTTCTCTCCAGTCACAACTTATGGAGTAACCTCAAGGCCTAGCACAGAGGCAGTCAGGAAAGTTTGAGTGAATCAGTCACAATGGATCTAGTACAGTACTGTTATCTGCAGACCTTCAGACTTTTCTTCCCAGATAAATACAACGCAGTGAAAGTCAGGGGCCATCGCTTCCCCCTTACTCTTGTTAGTGCAGGCTCTGGCTCAGATACTGAAGAAACATATTGGCTAGCTGAGGCAAGTTCTCATTGTTAGGATGCATTTTAGTATAGGAAATAAACTGGCGACGGAGGCGACTCAGTTCTGCCATGGTCAAGTGCCGGGTAAACCGCAAGTGCTCCGTGGTGCCAGGAAGCGTGAGCAAGTCCCCAGGAACGGCGTTCTTCTGCGCTTCCATCAGGCCGGCCAACACCTGGCTGGTGACCTGGTCCAATTGGTGCAGAAAGTTGCCAGAAGCGAGGGGCTGGGACTGCGTAGACTGATGCGGTGGAGGGGCCCTGTTCTCAAACAAGGCAGTCCGGATCTCCGCCAGAGGCAAAGGCTCCTCTAAGCCAACCAAGGTGAACAAAGGCCGGTCCCAGCGGTTTCGAGAGTCGGGAGCCTCAAAGCGCAGCGTTAAGGCCTCCAGAAGTTCCGGGGGGTAAAAGGCACTAGTAGGCAGAGGCTTTGAAGATTTTTCGGACTGCGGAGGTGAAGAATCTCTTGCGCCGACTTCCTCTGGCTCCAGTTCCTTCCGTCCTTCGGCCTGGGCTCTCCCGTTTACTATAGAGTCGGCTGTGCGCAGTTCCCTGGGAGCGCCTGCCGCCTGAGGTCTCCCGCCCTCCTCAGAGCGCGGCCGCCAACTCACACTGCCGTCCCGGCCGCGGTTCTCCTCCCCGCCCGCCGCCTGCAGTCCGCCGCTCGGACCGCAGGGCCGCACGCAGTACACCAGGCACAGCGGGGTGCGCGCCGCCCGGGCCAGGCAGTACAGCTCGTAGCGGAAGCCCTTGATGTAGTTAAGAGAGTCCAGGATCACCACGTCTTGGCGACTCAGCCGCCGCTCCACCGCGGCTCGCAGGGACCCGCGCAACGCCTTCTCACGGCCAGAATCGCCGTACACGCTCGCGTCCTCCGCGCCCAGCACCGCCGCGTCGCTCACCACGCACACGGCGCGGCCCTCGGCCGCCAGCGCCTCGCGCAGCTCCTCGGCGCGCCGGCTCCTGCCGCTGTCCGGCAGGCCGCAGACCACCACGAGCGGCATCCTCCCCGGCAGCGGCCCGGCGCGCCTGCGCAGCCACTTCCGGGTCGCCCGCGACGCCGGCGCAACCCGGAAGGGCAAAGTACACTTCCTGCCTGCGTTCGCAGCTACAGAAAGTCTTTGTTTCTATGGAAACAGGATTTCTAGGCCACCTAGGCCCGGGTCCAGCATTTCAGAAAAAGAGATGCTAAGACTGAAATGGTGCCCGTTATTCGTGCCAAATGATTACAGGCCTCAGGAGACTGTGTTCTCTCTGCGGCACAGGACTATGCGGTGTCGAAGCCTTAATGAGCGTTAAATACCGTATAACAAGCAGCACTGTATTTAACTTACAGAAGGCAATTCATAAAGACTACCTCTACATTCCTCCTCCTCCTAAACCTACTGGCTCTCAGTAAATATTTATTCAGTAACCTTTTGAGTCTTTCGACATCTCCATGGTTGGGAATTCAGAGATAAACACAAAAGTTTTCCTGCAGGAGATCAAAAGTCTGAATGGAAAGAATCAGGCACCTACACTACAGAGTAATAAATGCTCTGATTAGATGTAGGTGCGGTTATATAAGAAGAGACGAGAAAAACAAACCGCCCAGAGAAAACATTGAAGCCTTTATCTGGGAATAGTCTTTGACTTACAACATGAAAGATTAAAAGGAACTTTTCCCCTGGATAGGGTTGCCAACAACAAAACAATTTTTTTTTTAGTATAAATATGTCCCAAATGTTGCACAGACATATTTAAAAATGTCTATTGTTTATTTAAAATTCATTGAACTGCGCGTTTTTTATTTGCTAAATCTGAACAATGTAAGTTTTGAGACCCAGGGCTGTGAAACTATAGAATCTGTCCTGGGGATACCAAGCACTTAATTTTTCTAAGTACAATAGCGTACGTGTGGCTCAGTGCCCATAGTACAATGGTTACAGTGCTGGCCACATACACCGAGGCTTGAGGGTTCAAGCCCAGCCCCAGCCTGCCAAACAACAATGACAACTGCAACAAAAAATAGCC